ATGAGAAGTTTCTATCAATAAAAAGGCTTATAATAAAAGACTTATTGACATATTTATATTCGATATATATGATAGAATTCAGATTGATGTTGATGCTTAAAGAATATTTGTGTAAAGTTTTTTGTTTAAAATATCAAGTAACTTCTCCCGATTGTAACGTATTAAACAATGAGTCTTTTGATAAGATTCATAAACAATTTTCTTTATGTTCTAATATTTATTCAAATTTAATTTATGTTTCTTTTTTCAAATGACCTCAGTTCAATTCAAATAGTCATTAGTCCAGAAATCTTACTCATATGAACTGCTGATCGCAAGATTCAATTCGTATGATTAGCTACAACAGATCAGGCATCATATGATCATGATTGCATAAGAGGAAAATAATTTTTGAATTTTTATATCAAGACAGACGAACTCTTTGCCAGTATTTTCATATGAAGAAATCCAATATGATTTTTTTTTGTATTAACCTCTTTGTATATCTGTTGTGTCTGTTATTTATTTGATTAAATTGGTAAATTGAATGAAGGCATTAATAATTGTTTTCTTATTCAAACGATTAATGTGGAAAATCAGCTATTCTAATCAATTTAAATTAAATAGTCTGGTTGCTTTGCCTTTTATTTTGAAGAAAGTTCGTTTCCAGGAAAAAGTGCATTTTGATCAGAGACTTATCTTTAGGTTCTCTAATAGTGTAGAGCTAAGTTCAAATTTGGGTGTGGGTGTAGATAAAGAGAAGACCCCTACCCACATTCACACATCCACACCCTTCAAAAAAATTTCTTCAAAAGAAAATTTTTATCAAGATCAAATAACAGGAAAATTAGAAGCTGTTGGAGATACAGTAGAACCATTTCATTTTATTTTACATCCAAAAGATGAACAATATTTAACTCGTGAAGATCAAGATAAAGGAAAAGAATTATATTCACTTTTAGTTCAATTTGAAATTCTTCAAGGAGATACAATAAGAAAAATATTTCGAAATAATTCACAAGAACGAGATAAAATAGAAAAGATAATTCGAAATGATCTTGATCCTTCGATTGCCGATCCATTAATTAGTTTATTAAATAGTAAATCTTACTTTGAACAAAAAAGATTTCGAAGATATTGTTTGTTATAGTGAAGAATTATGGCAAATTTTAAATACAAATAGAATAGAAAAAGAATTACCACAGATATATGAAAATGTTTGGAAAGATTTAGAAGATAAAATAGATCCACAACAAGTTAATATTTCTCTATTTGAACAATCAATAGAAAGGAAAATATGCGAAAATTAAATTTAATGGGAATGGTCATGAAACAAAAGATCTTAAAATATTTTTAATAGAATTAAAAGATAATATTAGTCAACAAAATCAATATTTTTATCAAACATATTTACCATTTACTATTAAAGAAGAAGAAGGAAATAATATTCGAATTTATCTAAAAGAAAAAAATATTTTAAAGTCTGGTGGACTTGCTAAATATAAATATGTAGATATTAAAAGAAATATTGAAAGAATTTTAAAAAATATTCAATTTGAAAATGATAAAGACTTAATTTTGTCGAAAATTTTGTCTTTACAAGGAGATATTCGTTCATTTAAAACAGGTTTAAAAGCTAATTTAAAAGATTTTATAGATCTTCAAGATCAAGAAAATGTTCCAAGTGAATTAAGATTTTTTGAAGGTTTTAATCTTAATAAATTTTTGATTATTGAAGAAGATAAATCTTGGTGGGATTGGAATGCTTTTGCCGTTGCAATGATAGGACTTGTTCAAGTCATTGCCGAAGCTGTTTTAGTAGCCTTCGGTTTGACTCAGATAGGCAATGCTTTAATATCAGGTATTTTTAGTTGGAAAGAATGGGCAATACAAAAAGCAATTAGCTTCGGTCTCTCTATGTTGACTGTTGGAATTGGAAAGTTTTTGACGGATAAAATTATGGAACAGATTCAAGAAAATGTTTATACAAAAGATTGTTAATGAAATAGAAGAAAATTTATTAAAAGAAATAATCGGTTTAATAAATAATAAAGTAGAAACTGTTTATCTTCAAAGTAAAAATGAAGAAGAGTTCGAAAAATCTTTTGAAGAATTGAAAAAACATATTAGAAAAAACATTAGGAAAATATATTTTATTACCTCAACAATTTGATAATATTCGAACACGAGTTGTATCTTCTTTAAGAAATAGTTATCATCTATTTGCTGATGGTCTAAAGAAATCAAATTCAAAATACGTTAAAATAGCTGCTACTACTCTTAAAGCAATAGATATCATTAATAAGTTGTGGACTGTAGTTCAATCTGTCTTACAGTTCGAATATGTCTTTAATACTTTAAAAGATATTATTGAAGGTACTACCAAAGAAAATCAGAATATTTATAGAAAAAACATTAATAAGAACCTTGTCGAAACAAGAGCAGAACAGTTGAATAGAATCATTAGAGAATATATATATCAACTAAATTAACAAAATAATTAGATAAAGTAGTAAGACAAGCTATTAATGGAACATTAAAACAGATTGGAAAAACCATTGTACAAGGAATAAAGACAATGGTTGATTCACAATGTAATGGAAAAAAATCCAGCTAATATATTGAAACAATCGAATCAAAATAGACAAAAACATGCAGAAAGTCAAATTGCTAATAAATCAAGATTCAAAGAAAGAACAACAAGATCGAGCGAAACGAGAAGATCTACAACATAATATTAGAAATCCAAAACAAATTACTGCAAGTTATTTGAGATAAGCAAAAGATAAAGATAGAGCTTTAGGTCTAACTGATATCAAAATGTTAGCAGATCGTAAAAGAAGAAAAATAACTGTTTACAATTCAGGTACTGACGAAAAAGAAATAGTAAATCCTTCAGAAGTAAGAAAAATACTTGCTCTTCTTAAACAATCTGCTAAAATATATTATGAAGCAGATGAAAATGGAGATATTGAACATTATTTTACTGGTAGAGGAACAGAAACATATATACAGATCAGTGGACGGATAGATTGTTTGCTAATAGCTTATCATGAATCATTAGGTAGAAAAGTAAATGAAAATATTATAGGACAAGAACGAGTATCACTACGCCGTTAGACTGCTAAACATTCAGAAAAATATGTTAGAGACGTAGATGGGAGATTGATTTGAATAGATGTAATCAGATGATAGATGGTACACCAAAGAAAAATCTTTACATCTTCAATCCTATCACTGTAATGCAGGATGGTTCTAGAAAAAGAAATAAAATATAAATTAATGCCTGAAGCTATGAAAA